CCCCCCCCCCCCCCTACTATTAAAAGCGATACCACACCAAACTTTTTGTTACAAACAAACCATCTATCATTTCTCCAAACTCGGTATAGTGTGATCCCTTTTTGTAGATGCCCCCCCCCCCCACACTGACGAATTTGTAAAAATGTCAAAACTCTCCATATAACCAGGCTCTATAATACTTAATAAGTTAATAGCTATAAAGGCTTTCTGGAAGGCGGATGTATTCGGCAAGCCTGTATGCCAACATATGACATGTCTGAGTGTTACTGAATATGCTAGATGTATACACAGGGGAGCTTATATGAAGGCTGGTTTATATTCGGAGATTTACAGCATTTTGAAATCTTTTAAATATTTTTGAAATGATATGTAATATGTGTTGCATCTCAGTTGAACATTGAGACTTCATGTTCAATCTTTACTTGCTATATGACTTGCAGTGGTAAAACTAGTCATGGCAACTGGTCAATGGTCAGCGCTATGCTAATACACCTGCACCAAAATAGTTAGTTAAAGACAATAAATTTCTACAGGTTTGAATTCTACAAATATTTTAAAATTTGCATAGCATGACCAGTTGCTATGGTTAGCCTTTGATGACTTGTCTTCTGAACGTGTCTTCATTCTTAAAACTGGGGGGGGGGGGGAATCCGACTGACTTAAATCATCATATACGCCTTAGAAAAATAAGAAAACCCCGACAAAATCACAAAGAAATCGCAAAAACCACAAAACATCACATAAAAATAGAAAAATCACCAAAAATAAAACACAAAGCACCTGCAAAAAATTATTGAATAAAAATCACAAAGGAATTTTTCAGGCCGAATTTGTCCCTCGTAAAACAGTATAGCGTTATCTTACATTGGAAAGCATATTTTCGACTCCAGCCCTCTGATGACAAGGCATCTCCAATGGCAATAGGTTGAAACGAGAACATGTTTGAACATGTTGTCAACCGATGTTGTTACAGCATTGCGCAGTTGTAACAATGCTGTATAACAACATTGTTGACAGCTGTTCTTAGGGTGCAGCCTGTCGATATCAACCGGGAACAAGTTGTTCGTTTTTATGCGTCATGTAATTAAAAGAAAGTTGGCAAGCGGTTTATACTATTTCGTTTTTAATAACAACCTCCTGCATTGGCACTCTTCTCTACCACATCCCCAAACTACAAGTTGCGTATTTTCTTGCCTGCTATACATGAGGCTATTGTGGACGCCTTCAGCAGATGTCTTGTCAATATTTCAAAAGTTACCGCCTTAAACCGTGTTAAATATCACGTACAGTCATTATGTTATTGAATATATCCATACATTTATTAATTTTGATAGCCATGTAATAGACTGACAATCCTTGGATTTATCACACATATGCAGAAAAAATACTTTTACAGTCTCTTGTATTATTGCCTCCTTAAGGTTACAGGACACCCTTTTTGGCGTTTTGCGGAAAATCGCTACTGCGCGCTCAATATCAGTCCGATTTTCATCAAATTTTCACCAAATGTTCTCCAGTGCATGTAAAATATGGTAAAGTTGTAAAATTAACAAACAATAAAATAATGTAAGAATTATTCAGGAAAATCTTAAATCGCGGTACCGTTACGCTTTTGAGTTGTGCTCCTGCTGGTTTTAAGTTATATTTATGAAAATATCATTTTTATACAGTAAAATAGTTGTTCTAAAAACTGTGTTCGGAATTTTTTGTTTATTTCGTCATTCCGCTTATATGGCGATTTCTTTGACGACTGCAATATATTTCTGAATTGTTTGAGTGAATTGCTCTTTATTTTTAAAATATCCAAAATTAAAAAACAGCCGAACACACTTTTGAAACTGACGTATTTAGCTATGTCCTGTGAAAATTTGAGAAAAATTGGTTAAAACCCGCAGGAGCACAACTCGTTTGAAAATCAGTAATCACCGTAAAATTTTTCGGGAGAAAATTGAATTTTTGGATTTCATCCAAAACTCATTTATGCTGTTTAATCTCTCATTAAAATGTTCAATAAAGTCGCTGGTTTCAAATCTCCCCTTCTCTAGACATTTTTGATACACTTCAGCAAATTTATCGAGTTCCATGCTTTTAAGTACATTAAACGCTGCTTCTTCGTCTGGTTCTTCGGAAATTATCCCATCGGAAATTTGACCAATATCCCAACGCAATTCCATTATCTTATCAGCGACGTCATTTCCATCTTCCATGTGTTCAAGTAAATTATACTTTGGCATGAAGTACATTGGCAACGTTCGTTCTCTCAGAGCCATTATCAGATCATCTATAAGTGACAACAAATGAATGACAACTGTATTTTCACTCCAGCCTCTCGGCCCAGATTTCTCGCAATACCACAACACAATTGTCTTCAAGTGATAGGAACAGAATATATTCTTGATATTTGGACTCCACTGATGTTTATAATGATGTACAAAGGCTTTGAGAGCACGGTATACTTTATGTTGTAGATCAGTAAGGTTTCCGACGAGAATTCTTTCTGCGTTGGAAAATGAGAGCCTAAAAGTTCCTTTGACAGAACTCTTGCAGACAATATGGAAGCCATCTTTAATGATTTTGTGGACAATATCTTGCGTAGGCCAACATCTTGATCGATTTGGCCATTCTTGGGCACAAAGTGGCCATCCTTCACACTTGATAGCTAGAACAAAATCGAAATACTCAGCTGGTACAATCCACTCAGGCAGACCAGGCACTTTTCCCTTTCCAGGAAGTGAAGACGCGACCGCGATGGAAGGTCCTTCATCAACTATATCAACGTCTTCTTCTGCAAGTGGTGTAAACATTGGTCCGTAACTGAGATACCTTTGTCTCAACTTTTCTTTGAGTTTCATTCAGGAAAGTATCACATTGTTTTCATACCCTGGTTGAGTTGACGTTTCCAGGAAATCAGCCCACGTTTTAATAAGTGCGTCATCTGTTAGGAATAAAGTCACAAATGGCGTGTCTTCCTTCACTGTTAACTTTCCCTTCTTCTGGTGTTCCTCAGTTACCTTTATGTTCTTTAATACAAACATGAAATCTGAATCTGAAAATAATTTCTTTTTCAAGTTGATTCTCATGGTACCTTCATTGAAACTTCCAGAGTTGAAATGGAGCTTCATTGTCGAAAAAAATGCTCGCTGAATTGAAAACATGTTGATCTAAGTGCTCTGCCAGAAGTTTCAAGATTTCTTTTCCTTCTTTTGATGAGGTAAATAAAGGATCAAGTTTTTCCAGGAAATCACGAAATCCCCGACAACCACGTGGAAAAAGACCTATGTTTAAAATGGTCTTTCGAAGCTGTGCTACAACACTTAAATCTGCTTGAGCCATTCGTTCGCTAAAAAGAACATAAGACAGATTAAGAATGTATGTACATGTGCAATTATGTAATCAGTAATGCCAGAATATGATTTTGAGAAAGGTTCTTTAAGTATTCGCGTAGTAGTACACATGCATATATATGAAGATTAGTAGATTACAATTGTTTTTTTATCAACGTAATTCAAACTCTATCAGCTGTATCAAAAGGTTTTGAGAAAAAACAGATGATAAAAATGGTGTATACAATTATTTGAGAATTTTATATACTTGCTCTCGTCAGTTAAAAATATAGATTACCACCACCCAGGGGTTTTAGTTTCCTGTTTCAGACATGTCTCGAGAGGTGCCCGCAAGTCTGCTAAAGTGCAAGTGATTTCCTAATATATTTGCACAAAAATCAGCACACTTTTTTCAAGATAGCGATGTCAATACTACCACACCCATTCTTTATTGTTTTATTGCATGGTATTTGACTACACTAAACTGTCAAACTGAATATATAACACATTCATGTCATTATTCAGTTAACACTGATCTTGATCGAGGTTTTGCTGCATGTGGTGTAGGATTGGTCCATTTGGCACAAACCTGATCCGGATTTAGGAATCAAGCAGTATACTCTCAGAGCAAACAAACATATGAATATGAAAACTTTTCATTATTTAATACGCTGCATGGTTGCAGCATTTCAATTCCGAATACTGTTTGTAGACTTTCACCAAAGCCAAGGCCATGCGCAGTCTTCGACTGCATGACTATGAATAATTGGCAATAAATTACGAAATTAGGTTTTCTTCACTTTGTCTAGATTACGCGAATGAACTTTAACCCAGCGCTTTTGTATAACAAAACGTATACGTCCGGTTATATTAACTACAGTATTTCAACAACACAACTGAGTGGGATAGATAATTTCGAAATTGTTTTGCAAAATACCTTATTATAGGAAATTAACGATGCACTTTATTAACGCGACATAAATTAACGCGACATTAAATTAACGCGGATTGCTTCTAGGTCTTTTAAAACATGATTATATTAACGCGAATCTGATCTCCATGGTTGACAAATTAATTAAATTAACGCGAATCGGAAAATATAGACACAACAACAACAAAGGTTTAATGTTAAGAGGAGCACTGATGTTTTTAGTTTACGTTAATATGCTGTATTTTGATATTAAAAGAGTTACAATCTTGGAAAAAATATGTTTTCGAAGTATACACCCAAATTTGAAAACATATGATGAAAATGTGAGCATTTTTCAATTAAAGCAACTATTTACCTTAAATTCCCCCGCCCTCCCCCCACAAACAATGTTGGTTTAGGTAAAGTGGATTTGCAACACATGTCATCTAAATACCAACATTGTATAAGGGGGGAGAGGGACAAAGTTTGAAAATTTAAGAAGTCTACTAAATTTTTTCCAGGATTGTAGTGTTATATAAAACAAATTCAGGTATTTTTAACTAACGATAAATGAAAATTACATACTTAAAATTAACGATCACATAAATTAACATTAATTAAATTAACGCGAATTTTTAAAATCCGCGTTAATAAAGTGCATCCGTAAATTTCCTATAATAAGGTAGATAAAAACAGCTTCTAAAAAGTCATGAAAACAATAGAAAATGGGTGAGGTAGGTATATAAAAAACTCATTAATAATTCATGAGGAAAAGATAAAGGAAATCAATCACTGCCGTGTTGGTAGTTTTATATGTGATAAAAAATCATGTTCATTTACATAAACTTTATCTTTGATTTTTTCGGCTTAGACAACATTTATTTTTATAATCACTTCGCCAATGAACTCGTTTTTTGTCAATGGGTCGTTTTGTAAGCCATTTAATTAAAATACTCGCAGTCCGTGCAATCAGATGCAAAACACTCGAGCTGAGCCCTCGTGTTTTATATGGTAATAAGGCACCCCTCGTGCTCGTGTTTTAAATAGTAAAACAACATAATGACCCTCTTGAATGATTTGAATTTCAATGAAAGACCTACTACTCGGTTGTCATGCAGTTAACCATACCTAAAAGACCACAACGTCTTCACCGTACATCACATCTTCGGCTTCCTGAAAGCCTGAATACATGTTACTGCAGCCTTCGACGTATTTATATACGCACAAATCCGCAATACTGGGTAACAAATGTGAAATTGTACATTATTAAAAAAGAATATATCACTCAACATGGGTTACCGAGGTCCGTGTAGATCATTTCATTTTTTCGTTTAGTTTAGTTTTCTTTGTAATTAACTTAACCAATTGTATATATACAAATAAAAGTTGTCTTTACAGATAAAAGATGTACTATTAAGTATAATGATTAATAATGGATATGGACATAGACTATAATATAGTCAAAAACTGCACGTATACCGATATCTGACTTCATTTGAAGATATTTCACTTTTCGATATATGTAAAGAAAATAAATATTTAACCATTTAAAACAACAGTAAATAAGTAAACGCTGCAATATGAAACTACAGAAAATTATTAATTTTTAGCAGTGCCAATTATTACCGTTCCAATGACAACTTAGGGGCCGACCATTTAACTTTTGAGGGGGGGGGGGGTGATTTACTGCTGGCAGGGAATTTTTTTTCTGGGATCGTTATGTGCAAGATATTTTTTTTATCACCATCACCATGTACGATTTTTTTTTTGCCACACTTTCTTTCGCAGCATTTTTTTTTCTCTAGCTTATACAATTTAGATTATAGTTAACGTTGAGTTTTTTAGCTTCATGCATTGCTCTTAATAATACATTTTTCTATGAGGTATAACATTTGGTTCAGTGCCTTTTTTAAGGATGTGCAACTGGAGAGGACATAATTAGCGGGGGACCTGGAGAAGTTCCAGTCGGCAAGTCTGTATCCAGGGCCGTAGCTAGCATGTATAGTTGGGGGGGGGGGGTGTAGGCCAAAAATTTCCGAATGACGAAAATAATTTCCGAATATATCATGGCATACTATTAGCCATGAAGGTGTTTGCTACTCGGAAAATGAAGACGCAATTTACAATTAACAAAAATATGCATAATTTACGCAGACATATTACAGAAGCAGTGCGGTAGGGAGCTTTTGTTTATTGGGGGCAGAAAACGAGGGCCGGAGGCCCGAGGAAATTTTTAAATTTCGAGTCTCTGAAATGCCATTTCCTGGACTTTGGGGAAGTTTTGACAGAATGCTGATGGTCGGAAAAAAGCGTTTTAGTATGACGAAATTTACAATTTGCTTACAATTTATAGTGACAATACAATTTTATAATATTTTCTCTGTTTAACAACTAAAATTTTGTTCTACTATTAAATAATTGCCGTAATTTTCCGAATGGCCAACCCGATTTTCTGAATATGTTGATTCTAAAAAAGTTGGAGGGGGGGTTAACCACCCCCAATACCCCCCTTGCTACAGCCCTGTCTGTATCACTGCAGCTACCTACAGCATATATATGCATGGTTTAACTAATAAGGATACGTCATAGGGCAGCAACAACTGAGTCGACCACCGAAGGTGCGAGCCTCTAGAGGGGTCTGGGGGCATGCCCTCCAGAAAATTTTGGATTTTTTGAAGCTCAGATAAGCTATTTCCAGCATTTTGAGGAGTTTTCCAACAAGAAATTAACCTTACACCAGTCCCTGAAAATCAAACCAGCTCATCTTCTGGGACTTGTCAAATCGATCCCTGCAACCATGCTGTTTTGCAACATTTTTTTTCCCACCAAATACTGGGGCAGGATATTTTTTCCCCCAGTTTGTTAGTGCAGGTATTTTTTTTTGTCCAGAATAGCCTT